TAGACATATATTATGTCATTTATGTCACTTACGTCGCTCCAAAAATGATAGCCGCTAGGGCTTTTTCAGTTTGGTGGGTTTCGGCGTTAAGAACTTGACGTTGGCCCTCAAAGTCAGTCGCTTGGGGCTCAAGCTAGGACCCTATCCCAAAATCCTCATAAACCCGATGAGCCGAATGTAGCTAATTCTCCATTCTAATCAGCCTGCAAAAAAACTCGATCTAAGGGGAAATGCCGATGAAAGGGCACCCCTTAAGCCACCCTCGTAGTTTCGGGGCTCGGGTCCGAAGAACTTCAAGCAAAGGTTGCCAGGATCGCTTCAGGGGCTGCATGGTTCAGGGTGTAGAGGTTTGGAGCTCAGAGTTTGTGACCAGGAGAAGCTACTCGGAAGGCGTAGGGCTGCTGTTTCAAGGTCGTCTGCAGCGTTTGCACTTAATTAGCAGGCACATGTCGGCACTTCCCCGCGAAAGCCTACAGCCTGTATCACCGAAATCCAAAGTGAAGAGCCCTATAAACCCTAAACCCGAACCTCTATAATCTGTTGCTTGGCCTGGGAAACCACTCCAGAACAGTCAGAGCCCACATCCACCTGGCTCTGAGGCGTGGTCGCGAGGGCGCTCCAGGCTTTGCATAGGGCATAGGGGTTTTCGAGGGTTCCCTAGGGATAACATTGGCAATCATTCAGGCTTCGATGATGGGAGCGTCTCTGCAGCTGGATGCCTGCTCGATTTCTGGAATGGTAGGGACTCGAAGGTTCAGGGTTTAGGGACTGGGGGCGCTTGAGGGTTAAGGAGCTCAGGGTTTAGGGTCTTGGGAGTTTAGGATTAGGGGCTTAGGGTTCAGGGTTAGGGCATTGCAAACCTGCAGCAGGGCACGAACTGATCCAACCGATGTAAGCTGGCTGTCCAAGCGTTCCGTGTGTCCCGAGGCCCTGAAAGCCCTCGCACTCTGCAGTTCATGAGCCGCACCTCTCTCCCCTTGCGCAGGCATCGACGACCGAACTCCTGATGCTCCATGAATGGGGACTCGCTACAACAAAGCACAAAAAGGTCCCCCAGGATATGAAGGTGTTTATCCTTAGACACCAACACTTCAATCCACTGCATTCCCTAAGCGTCCATGTACCCAAATAGTGTATTATACTTTGGCCTAGAAGTAGTCCCCATAATAAGGTACATTGGGCACAAAGCATATACTGTTTCAGGGACCCTTAGAGTTGTGCTTCGCAGGGCGAACTTTCATCCAGGGGGCAATGTGACGGCATTGGGCAGCAAGGCCGCCTCTGCCATGGCAGGGAGCAACTGCAGGACAAGCTCTGGCTTGCCTGTAGCACGAGGCAGTTCGGAATGTCGGGGAATTAGTAATTACAACAGGGTTTTGGGGGCTCCTTGTTAAAATTACAATGGTGGTATAATACACCCCCAAGGCCCATTAAAAAGATTAAAGCTCCTATCGTAATCCCGAAGAGAGAAAGATGGAAAGACGAGGTGGCGGTACAGCACAAATCGTGCTCGTTAGGCCAAGCTGCCTCCGGAAGCAAGCGCGTCGACCAAGCTGTTAAAGGTGACGACAGTTGGTGCCACGGTGGCAGCCGTCATCTGCCTTCCCCCAAGTCCGCGAATCATTCCGAAAGTGCTCAGGGCCACGTGGAAGGGGAAGGACCAGGGTCTCTTGTTCCATTTTGAAGTGCTTAGGGCATTCTTTGTGTCTTCTGGGATATATCTACGCATTCATGTGTTCGGTACGACATGTTACAGAGTGTACTATGCCGAACGAATCGAAACACGATGTAGGAAAGAAGACGGGCTGGTAGATAACTGCACTGCCGAGGCCACTAACTGCAATACTGCAATTGCAAGTGGAGAGTAGCTGTAATATCTGCGCAACCACCAAACCTACCTGAAAGTTAAGGGGTTAGTGCAGGATTCGGGTGCAGGGCCCTATGCTTTCCAAACCCGAAAATCGGAACCCTACATCTCATCCCAAACTGACTCTTGTAGAGCATAAGCCTAGACAACCCTAAGGCGCCTCATCAAATCACAGGCTCGGATCCACTGCATCGCCTGTGCACAAGCGCTCATGGCAGCATTGTAGACGACCTTTGGCTGAGGGCCGCGGGTTTCTGCTCTTGGTTACAAGTCGCAACTGTAAGCCATTTTTTTCGAAGGGTCTCAGAGGCTTGCTGGTAACCGCAAATCATAAACACATATAAACACGCTATCGGAATCGGAAGGCCCTGAAGGGTATCAAAACTGGCGACCTGTTGGCTGTATTCGGGCTCTTCGGATCAAACAAGCGATTGTTGCGGACGGCTTTTCCTTCTGTAACCAAACCCGACTCCACCCTAAACCCCAAGCCCCTGAACCCTATTAAACTCCGCAGCCTAAAGTTAAAGACCAAATTTACAACTTAGACTCAGGGAACCCCTAAACCCCCAAACCCCTAAACAAATAAACCCCTATAGATCCCTTTACTGGAACCCACAAACCCCTAAACCCTAAACCCCCAAACTAAACAGCGCCTTTCATGTGGGGGGTTCCGGAAATAAGGGGCCCTATCTAGTACCCCAAATAGTAGGATCCTTATTGTAAGGACCCCAAAATAATGTACTCCTAATATTCGGACACTCCCATGTCAGGCCGCTGCATTTGCCGTCCCAGGCCGTACCGTTGCAAGCGCCTCAAGTGGCCAGCGCCATTCACCTCCTGGAATGGGTTTCGGCGCTCACACTCGGGCAATCCAGGCGAGGCATAGACGGTTTAGGGGTTCAGGGTTTAGGGCTTAAGGGTTTAGGGTTAGGGGTTCAGGGTTTAGGGCTTAAGGGTTTAGGTTAGGGGTTTAGGGTGTAGAGGTTTAAAGGTTTTGGGTCTAGGAGTTTCCACTCTCGCAACTCGAACTCGCCAGACGAGATCTCTGTGTTCGGGTGCACAACTGAAGCTAACTACTCTACTTCGCTTCAAGTGCGTCACTACAGCAACCACTCAGAGCCCGGCTCGAAGACAACGCAACAGAAGTTAGGGCCAGGCAGTAAGGACCCCCAAACAAGGTATCCCTAATTTCGGAAAGTCCCATATACCCCGGCTCCAAGCAGTGTTGAGGCAGCCAGCAGTTCAGGACAATAGTCGACAAAAGAAAGTGTTTAAGTTTTCGGGCATCAAACCAATCACAAATTACACGCACACTCCAATGCCTAGCCTCACGTAGTTCATAGTGTTCTACCAACCAGCTTTGTGGTCAGGATCCAGTACGAAAAAAAACCGAACTGTGTTTGTGAGGATTACGGCAGGGATCACCACTGGAAGGCATAAGGAACTGAGGAAACCCGTGGGCTCTCAGACCTGTTGCTGTTTTGAATCTAAGCGGTTACGTCCCAAAGACACAGCCTGCTGTTGTAACGGAGCCCGAGCCGTGGATGCAAGAATCACACATGGGTGGTTGCCAAAAATTTTTGTGTACCCTACATAATAGGTGCCGTACTATATTAGGGACCCAAAAAAGGACCATATTTTTGACAACCACCCATATGTGATACAATCGCTGTCTAAGATTCTGACATGACACAACGTTAGGGTGGTGCGATCCTGGCCTGTATCCCACACTGACAAAAACGACCTGACTCACTACTTGGAGGGTCGGGGGACTTAGTAAGTAGGTCGTAAATAGACTTATAAGTGCCCTAAAAGGGACCCTAATTGGGGTTAGGATACTTATAAGTCCCAAAAATAACCAGTTACGAAGTCCCCCGACCCTCCAAGTAATTCTCACCTACGTCCCTGCACCCGCGCCCCAGAAGATCTGAGCTTAGGCCTGGGTTTATAGAATCTGCCGAATCCCGAAGCGCTACACCCTAAACTCTACTTGGAGGTTCATGGGTAGTTATAAGTGGGGTTAAAGGTTCCCTAATATGGGTTATAATCATAGTTACCCTACTTCTAACTCTACTTGTAACTATCCATGAACCTCCAAGTAAACCCTGAAGGCAAACATCGCAGGAGCCCTCGCGCACTCCACAACACTCACACAAATCCCAAGGTCGGCTCGAATCCGATAAGCATACACAACGTCATACCCTTAGGCCCCATAGTAGTTCCTTTTTTGAGATGACCTTTTAGAACAATTGTAAACATGAACCCCAAAAACGATGAACTACTATGGGGCCTTAAGGTAGAGCTAAGCTCATGTGCAGACCCTGGATGCACACAGAGTTTGGTTTCAGCACGAGTCTCCCTTCTCGCAGGCATTCATTGCAGCGCTGCAGCTTCCAGCATTCGGCACCAAAGCTGCCATGGACATTGAAGCCCTGGCCATAGGAAACCGCACGTAAACACTTACATAGCAAATGCAGAACAAGTAGCAATGCTGTCATCATCAGATGGTAACACATCCCCCCATGCGCAAAATTGAAGATTAGGTCCATCACAAAACCTATATGAACATAATGTTACGGGTCTATGTCTATAGTTTTTCTGATTTCTCAATGCTTCCTCCTATACCCTGCTCTCTGCCCCAGGCCGTGCAGGCCTTTGTTCCTGCGGTTGCTGCACTGCCGTCCTGCAGCCCCCTTGCAACCCTACATCCCTATCGACCCCATTGCTTTTGCAGAATGCAGTTCTAGCAGGAATCCAACTCACAGGTTCTCGTACACACCTGAATGACCAATGGCAAATGGATCAAGCAATTACTCTTCTACTATTGACGCCAGAAGCTCGGCCTTGCAGCTTCTTCTTGGCAGCCAACGTGCTGGAAACAAGTCGGAGGTTCCCGGGTAGCTACAACGGTTACGTGATTTTGTAAGCAGGGTAACTTTAATTACAATCCATACCAGGGCACTGATAACCCCACTTATAACTCCCCATGAACCTCCAAGTAACCCCGACAACCTGCCACTCCCATGTACATGTACTAGTCCATGGTTGGGATGGTGTTAAATCTTTAAACTTCTTTTCCTTCTGGGTTTAAGTACCCATAAACATGAAACATGCTCTCCAACTGTGACAAAGTTTAGTCTAGGCGCAGCAGCTCCAGGGAGGAGGTCCAACGGCCGTCCGCAAAAGCACGCACGGCCGAGTTGAAGCTGATGGCACTTCGCTCCAGACTGCGTTGCTCCTAAGTTTAATATAGGGGCCTTAATGGCGGTTCCTTCTTAAAGGGTCTATGGGGGCTACTATAAGGGATCTATACCTATACAAGGACCCCCAAGTACCCTGTAAAGGGATCTAATACTTAATTAAGAAGTGAGACTGCGATGCTCCTAAGTATAGGAGTTTTTGCCTTATAGGGATTTGGTCCCTTTAAGGGCACCTTTACAAATGGGGGTCTATAAGGGCTACTATAAGGGCCATTCTGAGGATTTAAATTAGGGGGCCGTAATATTTACCTCTACTATTTTTTTTGTTGGGGGGTGGGGGGTGTCCTTATTATAATTCGGGTAAAATGGGCCCCAAAACCCTGTTCTAAGAAATGGGGCCCCTGCGTTAGGGTCTTTCCCTAAGGTTTAGGGTGTGGTGTGTGTTTTTTCCGTCTCGCATGTCGCATGACTACTATCTAGCGTCACGAGTGGTGTAGTGTGCTTCGAGTTTAAGGCCTACCTCAACCCCCCCAAAGTAAGTAAAGTACTGGCCCAATTTGCACAAAAAGGCCATTATTCTACTTGCTTTGGGGTCCGGGCTTCGGCGCCAAGCAAAACGAGCTAGCGTGCATGTGGCTGTGAGCTTGGTTGTTCTTCTAATCTTTTTGGACAAACAAAGAGGATTTCTCCTGGCTTCTGGTATGGCTTCTTGCACAGCATTGTTAAAGAGGCCAAAATTACTACTGGTACCATAGTATGACAAAGCATGTCCGGGAAAATGAAGGGGCTCAAATAGCTACCAATCAACACTGTTTCTTCAGATTCCTTCTGTAATCGCAATAACGTACTACTGTATGCCGTAGCTATACCTCCAAGCCCTAGTTTAATTATCGAGAATTGTCTATGAACCCAAAATACAGGGATTCGAGTTGAATCCAGCCCCAGCAAGCCGGACATCCGCAGATAGCAAACGATGACAGCCAGAACCCTAAACCCGAAGCCTACACCATAAACCCTAAACTTAACTAAAGCCTCAACCCAATACATCCAGAGGCAAACTTTCAAATATGGCCGAAGTTCCATGGATGACAGGAGCTCCATGGCATGCTTGCTGTGCGTCGCACGAGTGCAAGCGGTGATGGTCGTGTTGTAGCCTCGACTTACGGTTTCGGGGTTTAGGGGTTTTTCTTTCCCTCCTACCTAGCAAGGAGAGGGGGGTGGGGGGGGTTAGAGTTTAGGGTTTATGGGCTTAGGGCCTAGAGTTTAGGGCTCATGGACTTAGGGCACTTGTGGCTTGATGACCCAAGGAAATCACAACATATCACAACCATGCGAAACAGGATTTCAGGCGCAGTTCCTGCGCATGTTCACTTCGCATGTGCTTGCTGCATTGTTTTGCATGTTCAGGCTTTCCTGATGGACCCCCTATCCCGAAATGCCCCTATCCGGGCCCTTGCCCCTGACCGTAAGCACACAATTGCCAAACACATTTTACCTGCATGCCGACTGAAACCGGTCCAGCTGTTTCACAGCGATTTGTGCTCATAATTGTAGCTGGCTGAACAAAGGGAAACCATTGAATTCGGCTACAAGGGCCTGGTTTACACCCCAAAACATCCTAACCTTCGTTGCAAAGAGCAGCATTGTGGGCTTAAGCCGGGGCTTAGTTTGTCGCCTAAGTCGCTTGATTGCCTCTTTTGGGTGAATCTGTTACACAGTCATGCTTCCACGGCTGGAAACCAGGTAACAGGCTCTGGATAGGTCCTAGGTTTCCAGCTTTAGGGTTGCGGTGGTCAGCTACCTTGAGGAGTCCGCGTGCATGCTTCCAGTGGCGTTGTGCACTGAACCTCTCTGTCGTGCAATGCGACGAAGAGGGTCCACGTCCAGCTGTAGTAAAGTCTATCCCACAAAAACTCGACCCTCCACACTTCACCAACCATCCCTGAAAATTCCTAAATCCTCAATTCTCTTCCTAAGCATGGTGGCTGACGGCGTCGGGCTGGCACTGGGCAGCCATCGAGTCTAGCAGGTGCAGCGCCGCCTCTCACATGTTTGCGAAAGATAGAAGGTAGACTCTTGACTCCAGGTTCTAGTCGGAGTTCAAAACAACTGTGGAACTCGAGGGGAAGGGGAGGATTGTGTTCGTGACTGTTAGAAATGCCATTGGCATGTTCATGACTGTGTTTGAACACGGTCTCTTTGATGTGCCAGAAGGGTCACAGAAAATACTAGTTAGCTCGCGTAGCCGCCCTTACTTGTTCGCAACAAACACGACCACAGTTTTCATGAGAACAAAACAACATTAGTCAAAATAGAATTGTACAAATATGTTTGTATAAATTACCATATATATATATATATGTATATACTTATATGTACATATGTGAAACATGTATGTATATCTTTATAGGTATCGATACAACACACCATCTAAACTTATTTTGGATCCGGCCGGGCAAGTCTGGCGACTGCACGTTACCTGCATATATGTGTACAAGAAAGGCATGCGCACACCCATGCATATACCCCTACCTATAAACATGCATGTATGTGTATATATATATATGCAGATAGATATGTGTATATGTGTATACATGTATGAGGATTACTGACGTATTGCTGGGTATCCCACCATACCGCCAAAAGGAAAGCCAAAGCGCATGGTGGGGTCGAGGTTCTAGGCCATGGGCTCGCATGGAACATTACGGGTTCGCAAGGAAACCGATGGGTTGTTCAGGGTTTAGGGTTTCGGTTTTGGAGTTTTGCGGCAACTCAAAGGACCCCTAAACCTTCAGCCCCTAAACCTTAAACCCTATACCCTAAATATCAGGAAAGGCCGCCTGCCACTTCGAAGCCTGCGACAGGGCACTGAGCAGGGAGTTGTCGGTGATGACATTCCCTCTCAGCCGCCTCGCACAGGGGGGGGTTTCCGAACATGGGAGACCCATGTCGCATATTCTCTCTCCCAAAGGCTCCATGTAGCCATATAGTATATACTTATACCCTAATTAAAGTACCCATATAGGAACCCCTTTCAGGCCTAAGTATATACTCTATGGGTACATGGAGCCTTAAGGTCTAGGAGTGGCAGGCGCACCTCTGCGGAATGCTGGCAGCAAGGAGGAGGGCCATGCCCCACTCTGAGGCCCGCTCCGCAGCCTTCAACGCGCTGCCCAAAGTCCTCTTCTTCCCAGAGACTCCAAAACCCCTTAATTAAGGAATATACCTTAAATTATAATAGGATCCCTTATATGATTTAAGGAATATTCCTGACTTAAGGGGTTTTTTTGGAGTCTCTGGGTTCGTATTCTGGCGGGTTTTGGGTCTTTGGAATTTATGGGTTTAGGGCTTTTTTGTGTTTTATGGGTTTAGGGCTCAGGCTCGAAAGGGCCTACATGCCTACATGGTGCCCTAACTCGTGGCCGGCTTAAGGCTTACATAGGGTTGAGTGTTTAGGGGTCTCAAGCATTCTGATCAAAGCAAACGGTTGTCGTTCTGTTTTACAAGCGCTTTACCTTACAGTGCGCTTTGGTGTTTCGGGCTTGCTAATACTTGGTTTACTGGCTTGATTATGCAAACCGCGCAAGCCCGAAACAAGAGCTCTAAAGGTTACCTAGTCGGCTACCCAGAAGATCCAAGAGCTTATCTTTGGTAGGGAATGGAAGGATGGGGTACAATTATACCTACTATTACTACCTTTCTTCCATTCCCTACTAACCAAAGGTAAGAGAGGTCATGATGTTCGGCTGTAGCTGGTCTGCCGGCATCTGCTGCAACAGGTGCACTCCCATCGTCCATCCGTCGGCCCCAGCAGCTGTCTTGATCATGGCATTCCTGGGCTGTTCTTGGAGATCCTCACAATCAAGCACCAAGTAAACAAACTAATGAACACACATACATACATATACATACATACATATATATATATATAGAAAAAACATAGTATGGATATGAAAATGCACATATACAAAGTTACATATGTATGTGCAGATATTAATATGTATATATGTATATGTAACAGGATGGTGCTGAGAACCCAAGAAAAAGTGCTCGAGGAGCCCCCCGAGATTCCAGCAAGCAGTTGTTGCCTGAATCTTTCCTTCCATGCAGGTCAGGGCCAAGAGCCAGTCCTCTGCCACGCCACCTGCGGGCATTGCGACCAAGGATTCAAACCTGGAGCCTTTTCTGCATGGATCCTAAACTCTACCACTAAACGCTGTAGTTGGGGCATGTGATCTTAGAGCTCTAACAAGGAACCGTGACCCTATATTAATTAAGTAAAGCAAAGGTTGCAATGCAGGCATGTGGCAGGCATCTAGAGCCGTTGTCAAACTGAAGGGGTCCGGACACATTGCTTGAGCGACTAAGTCCTGTAGCATGTGAACGGCCAGGTCCCAGTAGTCGGATACCTTCCAAGCTGATTCCACTCTGTCGTCTGGGATTTCGGGTCACAGCTTGCTTTCTGCGAGTTTGTCACAATACAACAGCATTTAGCAACAACACAATAAACATGGGCCCCAAGCAAGGATTTGCAGCATGCCGATGGAGCTGCGCAAGCAGTAATGGTTGTGTTGAAGGTGACCAGGTTGGCTCTGATGTCCTGCCGTCGCAGCGACCTCATTACTGGGAAGAGGACATCACAGGGGAATTGATCAGACGAGAAGCTGCCGATAAAAAGCTTCGATGTTCCACGTGACTTGGCGAACTGTGGTGACTGATGAATACACACTGTTTTCGCTCCGAAGTCTAGGAACACAGTGATGGCCACGGTCTCGCCGAGCTCTATAACCGTAAAGCAAACTGAAACACCACGGGCAGATGCGTCTTTGCGACGAAGTACCCGAGCAAAGTAAGAGCCAACCGCCACTGGCTGGACATGTCGCAAGCTTTGATGACAGAGCTGTAGGTCACCACCTCAGCACACGCATGCGGCATGAAGCCTAGTAGCCCTGTCCCAGTTTATCCTGTCCACTGACGTCGGAAAGGACCCTCCCCAGAACGCTGTCGGTTCTCGTCGCCAATGAATTACAAGGCCCCTGAAACGGAACATACTTATCGTCTTGCCCACATGAGACAAGCTGGCAAACCTGCCGGGAGTTCCTGCAGTCCTATGCTTTTGAGGTCTGCAGACCCCGCTCTCAGCCGAGATGTGCCAAAACATGCAAAAGCTGGTGTCCCCCGACACGTACCGCTTTGGGACAAGATTGGTTAATCTGTCAGGATACCTACAGTATGACCCAGAATCCGGAGTATAATCCTTACACTACCCCACCACTTAGAGGCCCAGGGGACTTAGTATATAAGTAGGTTATAAGTACCCTAAATGGAGTTACCCATTATTAACCGACCCTCCAAGCATCCCTTCCTGCTACCCTCTATTCAACCCTCAATACCTACTATTAGCGACCATATACCCCTATTTGAGGCTAGAAGGAGGGTCCTGGCACCCCACCACACCTGGGCAAGCGGCATCAGCTTCCAGAGACATGCCTTCGAGGTCTCCCAGAAGACGAAAAGCTCGCTGCCACTGCCCCGCACGAGCGCAAGCACTGACAGCGCTGTTCCAAACAACCATGCTCGGCAATATCCTGGGCTTCAGGAATTTCCGTCGTGCATATCTGCATTCTGCATACATTGGCATTCGAATTGTCATGCTTTTTTTCAGATGCATCTGTCCGACTGATTACTACTTGCCGCGGGACCAGAACTCATCGTTCGGACATATACAGAGAAACATCACGCCGAGCATCTCTACGACCTGCATCTTCCCGAGTGCTGAGAGCGCCTCCCGCCACATCGATCCAGTAGAACAGGCAGAGACGGCGCTTCCGAAACTGTAAACATCGACTTGCATGCCTCGGAGTTGTTGCGATGGGATTTCCATGCCTTGTTGTAGAAATGCTCACAGACAGTCATTAGTGGGCAGCCAGCCTAAGACCCAAAATCCTAAACCCCAACATGTTACCAGTAGGTTGAAGTTTTGCCGATGAGGCTCTCCGCGAGTTCGACCAGGACTTTCCGAAAGAGTTGTAGCTTTTCATTGATCTATGAGGCTGCTATGAGGGATCTGTAAAGTTGCTGTAAGGGATCAAGGGCTCTATAACGTTTCCGTCAGGGCCACGCATTTTTTCGAGCAGGCAATGAGATAAACTATGCATGTATGTCATGGCGTTTTATGGCTTTACAGGCGGCGTGGCAGCCTAATGTCGTGAGACAGTGCTTCGAAGAAATAAGGGACGACGACATAGATCCGACAAAAACAGATCCGTATTATTCGGAGCCCTTTGACAAGGCATCAGAAATTCTGAAAAATCCGGGCCAAAGTCAGGTAGCCAGCGCGCTGCATGAATTCCAACAGATCCAGGGCCATGGACCTTACTTAGAGGTTCATGGGTAGTTAAAAGTGGAGTGATAAGTCCTACAATAAAGGTGATAACTACAGTTACGCTACAAATAACCCCACTTATAACTACCCATGATCCTCTAAGTACTTGTCTTTGTGAGGTAGGAACAACCTTCGATTTGCAGCTGATCATCCTTGCGGCATGTATATCGAATTCGGAATGACTGGCTCAGGAGATTGCTAAGCCGGACGGGACCGCATGATGCAGACACCGTAACCTGGTCGCTCGAAGGTTAAAGCCACAGGAACAGATGGCATCATGTTCATTTTTGTCCATACAACTTCGCTCAGATCTTACCAAACTGCGGAATAAACACTAAATCACGCTGCCGAGTTTCACCCCAGCCCCGTAATCCGTTATCCGTACCAAACGCCAAAATGAAAACAGGCGGCCAGCACCCTGCAGCTGCACAAGTACTGATCACTCTGTTGTGGCTGATGAGCCCGGCCTGAACAAAAATCGCGAGAAGAACGGCAAACAAGACGCATCAAACGTCCGAGCACATGCGGTGAATCATGGTTTTGCTGAATGGACTGTTCACCTGCGGGCAGATGGGCCTGCTGTGCATCCCACAAGCGGACAACAAGGATCAGCCTGTAGCCTCCATCGCCATTATATTTTTGGTTAACTTTTTTTCATACTTCAAGATCCTCACAGTAGAAGCGCAGTCCACCAGTCCCGCTGCTTGCTCTTCTTTGTTCTTTTGTTCCAAACTTCACCTTGAGCTCTCTACTATAAGCCTTAATAATTAAAACAGGATCTTGGGGCCCCTTAACCCTACTTAAAATAAGGAGCCCCCAAGATATTATAGGTAATCCTTAAGGCCCCTATATTAGCGCTCTTCTAACCAGTGGTTTTGGGGTTCCCTTGGCTCTTTAGCTCCTTATTTAATAGGGATTATCATCATCCCTGGCTCCTTAGCTCCTCCAATATCAGTGGTTAATTAGGAACCCCCAATTTCAAAATATTATAGGCATAGGTAATCCCTAAACCCTAAACCCTAAACCGTAAGGCCCCTATATTAGCCCTCTTGCTCGGCCTCCAAACGGCCGTCATTGTGGCTTTGCAGGAGGTGGAGAGCGCGATCCCAGCGCCCTGGGCGGCTTCTTGGGCAAAGCGGTTTAGGGTTTAAGGAGTTTAGGGTAGTTTAGGGTTTAAGGGTTTCGGGCGTATAAGGGTTTAGGGTTTAAGGGTTTAGGGTTTAAGCTTTGTTTTTAAGTGCAACGGCTTTTCTGTGAGCAGCGTCGGCCTGCCTCATTGAAGCCTACACAGTTTGAAAAGCGGTTTAAGGGTTTAGGGTTTAGGGTTTTTTTGACACTCACTCTCGGACGAGCCTGGCAAGGTCTGCAGAAGTAGGGTTTAGGGTTTAAGGGTTAAGGGATTAGGGTTTAAGGGTTTAGGGTTTAAGGGTTTGGGGTTTAGCGGGCAGAACCCCAGCTACTGTTGATGGAGGAAATCTTGCACCACTTTAAGTGGCCAAGCCAAGCAGACACCCCACGCCCCCTTTTTAACATTGACCGGTGATCCTCGGAAGTGCCGTGGGCTCCAATGACAAAAATCTTGCACCACCTCGGTATCCATCATCTTCAATGTTAAAGAGGGGGTGCGGGGTTATGCTCAACTGTCGTGTCACCTGTTACTTGGCAGATGGTGCAAGATTTCCTCCATCAACCGTAGTGGCCAGGAACGCGTGCAAACCGTCTGATATAGGGGCTTAAATATTTACCAATACTAGTTTGGGGCTTCCTTAATATACTCTAAGACTCTAAGAATAGCAGAATAGTTCTACAAGGCCCCTATGTTGGTCTCCTCCTCCTCCTCCTCATGACGCCCTGAATACTGCTTGACCGGCAAGTCCCAGGTCAACTCAGGCTCTCCGAACATCGCCGTGACAACCAGTGCAGTCACCAGCACCAGCAACAACACGAGTGCCACCAACACCAACGCAATCATCATCATCGTCACCAGCATCATCACCATCATGAGCAGCACCATCATCATTTTCATCTCATCGTCATCCCTAACTGTATCTCCAACATCATCATCGTCACGACCATTGTCGTCGTCGCCATACCATCGTCGTCATCACAAAAATTCACGTCCACACGGTCGACACAAACATTACAATCACAAGCCACACAGAGCCGAATACCATCTCCTGCTCAGCTTAATCAGAACCTCCGTATGGTCCATCTGTAATGCATCATCAATCACATGGCATGTCCTCATCCCCAATACTAGCAAGAGCAACGTGTGTTTCATGTAGTGCTGGGGAGGTTCCACATGCTGCAGCGCTCTGTATCGCCAGGTCCAAGCCAGTCATCGTGCATCCTACAGGAGCCTCCGTGCTGAAGGATCCTAAACGTCCTAGCTTGCTTGGTCATGTCTAATCAAGTCAGTGCAACTAGACAGCCATGACAGAGCTACGACTAAGGGTCTCTGTAAAAACCAAGACTTCACTCCCATTCTGAACCCAAACCTCACAAATCCACAAGCAAGATGAACTAAGATGTATGCACGGTCGGGCGGTTATTCCACAAGCTCGAGCCGACATTTCCTGTGCCAGCGGGAATCAGTACGAACAACACTATCTTGCCGGCTGCATGTCTAGGAATAAGGCGAAGTTCGCACCCGCTAGACCCTGTAACTGAAGGAAGCCGTAAGCATCAAGGCCTTAGGCAGGCTCCATGTGTTCAGTGGTAGCATGGTATATATACGGTCTACCTAACGCCTGTGTCTCATAACATGAAGGTGCCAACAAACACCTAAATAGTACGATGCTTGCTGTTTACAAAGGTACCAAAATGGTTAAAGAGACTCCCACCAATCTCTCGCAGGAGGTTCTCCTTTTGACTGCCAACCCAAAACCCCGCAGGCATGAGCTCTAAGCTCAAACCCTAACCCCCAAACCCGAAGCCATTAAGCCCGGCAACCTACCAACTCAAGGCTTTCCACAAGCCCATGCCGACTCGGCTTGGCGGGGTTAGGATGACAGGGTCTAGGGTTTGTAGCTTTTGCGTTTGGTGTGTAGGGCTGCCGGCGTCACCGGGGTTCGGAGTGTTGAGATGCATTGAAGTCAACACGCCCATCCGCAGAATCACGCCCAAATTCAACCAAAAACCAAGAACGTTCGAGGCATTTCAGGTCCTGCAGCGGCCTGCCTTTCAACAGAAGCGGCAATCTGGGGCGGTAGCCTTTGTGTTCGCTGGGTCTGGTAAGCAACGGGAACATGCGTGACACCCGTGAGAGTAAGAGTGTGTGTGTGTGTGTGCGTGCGTGTGTATGTATACATATGTGTGTATAAAGTATAAAACATATACCTTTACATATATATATATATATGTACACAAAGTACTGATTTGTTCTTACCCTATAGCCTACACTCTGAAACCGCCTTTCGAAATGCATAAACCCTCACTCCCTGCACTGATTGACGGGAGCGGGTGGATGTGGACCTGCTTCGCCTTCTCACAGGCAGTGACAGCGGAGGAGTAGCTGATGATGTTTGGGCGCACTGCCTTGCAGGGCTTACAGTATAGTAGAAGCCCAAAAGTTGGAAACCCAATAGCCTCAGTCCTACAGAGTAGTGGAATCCCTGCACTAATTGTCCTCTATCTGGTTTCCAACTTTTATGGGCTCTACTTTAGAGTTTGGGCCTCAATGACCAGGACTGGGTTTCGAGGCACATTACTTGGAGGGTCGGGGGACTTAGTAAGTAGGTAGTAAGTAGACTTATAAGTACCCTAAAAGGGACCCTAATTGGGGGTATGGTACTTATGAGTCCTTAAAATAACCAGTTACTAAGTCCCCCGACCCTCCCAGTACAGTTTTGAATAGGGAATACCAAGGGACACTATACCAGTGCTCATTCAGGCCCCTACAGCATCCTGAACACCAAACATGAACCCCATTTTATTGTAGGGATCTGGTTAACACATCCCCATAGCTCTGTCGATCCGACTTCAATAAGATGTGGACCCGTGCATAGTACTACTTCTTATTCTTCGCTCGAGGTTGGCTCCTACTCTACTCGGGTTTTCGAAAAAGTGTCTTGAGTGAAAGGTCGGCTTCCTGGAAGCATCCGGCGAGTGCCGCATGCAGGTTGCAAAAAAGCGTCGGCACAGCCGTTGTGTGGAGTGTTTGTAATTCGGAAGTCCCAAACAAACGTGCATAACCACTTCAGGTACTAGCAACGTCTCGATCAATCAGAAAAGTAAGTTTGAAGAACCCGAAACCCTAAAGCTTTCTGAAGGGCTGCCCGGCAGATGTGGGCAGGAAAGCATTCAAGTCAGTTGTCTCCGGGAGCTGTGTAATAGCGGGGCCTTAATAATTAGAATAGTTTTGGCGTCTTCTCTTTCAACATGATAAGGAACCCCGCAAGAGTATCGGTAATGAGTATCGGTACTTATTAAGGCCACTAGATTATATAGTCGATTCGGGATTCAGGTTTTCATGACCCCTCCACAGGGACAAGCGCGGCAGGGACGGTGACGACGGTCCGAGAATAAGGCACTGTCGCGTGAGGTTGCATCAGGATCCTATAGAGTTTGTTCTATACGGGTCGGTTCCAAAAGAGTTTCAGAGTTTGGAGGTTGAGGGCTCTAGGACTGTAGGATTTAAGCCACTTGGGTCCGGCCCGGTTAGGCTTTTGATGCAAGGGGTCGTTGTAACATGTCAGGGTGTTGCATGCTCACACATGCAGTGTTTTCGAGATAGGCATAGGGCGACAAGGAAAAGCAAGTCGAAAACAATCGAACACCAAAAACACTGGAAATCATGCTGACATGTAAGCCCCTGATCAGATCACCAAAGCATAACAGCACTGCCAGTTCAAAGCGAGAAATACCTACCCAACTGACACAACAATCTGCACCGCAGCTTGCTCGACTCTAGTCAAGTGCCACAAGGACGCATGACGATTGGCCTGGACATAGAGATGCCCAAAGTGGCTGCAGAGGGATGTACTAAATGAGAAGGCTTGGGGGCCGGGGGGAGGCGGGCGGAGCATATCATGCGAACAATATTCTGCGAAGTCCTAAGGAATAGTCTACTGTTCATAATTCGCACACGCCACTCAAGCCGGCAAGAATCCGGAAATGGAGTTTGCAACGCCTGACAAACGCTCACTGACACAGAAGCGGATTTCCTAAAGCTAGGGACGCCGCATCTGTGAGTCCTGACTCCTCTTCTTACAGTCTATCTGAGCATCCCTTCTTTTCTGAAACCCAGAGACTCCAAAACCCCTTAATTAAGGAATATACCTTAAATCATATAAAGGATCCTGATGATCCTACTATAATTTAAGGCATATTCCTTAATTAAGGGATATTGGAGTCTCGGGGAACTCCCCAACCTGAACTGCTGAAGCCGTCTGTTCGGGGTCGAGGCTCCCGCATAAGACCATAAAGCCTAAAGCATTCAAACCTCAAAGCCCTAAGTGCTGAAATTCTAGCACAATCCCCTGCAGAGCTCATCATAGAACCCTTATAGAACCCTAAACAACTACAACCCGATAGCCCCGGGCCCTTACCACATACCTTGCAGGGTCTCAAACCCTAAAGCCTAAACCCTTTTTGAATCCGGACTTGATGACTGCCAGCACTGCCCCTTCCGCTGCTCTTCAGCCGAGGCCCGAAAACCGCAACACCGCATCACTCCGAAGGGTAAGCCTAAACCCTAATCCCTAAACCCTTGCCACACGTCTTGCCGGGTTTCGGTATACATCAACTTGAAACTCAGGGCTCGGCCCATCGTTTCATCTTGTCAAGGTACCTCGGCGGGGTCAGGGTTTAGGGATTGGGGTTTAGGGTTTACGGATTAGGGTTCAGGGATTAGGGTTTAGGGTTTGGGGATTAGGGTTTCAGCACTCACATCTAGACAAGCAGGCCAGGATCCGAGGATTAGGGTTTGGGGATTAGGGTTTAGGCTCATGCCAGCATGTGCAGAAAGCTTCTTCCGAAATGTGTGGCGGCTTTGGAGTATCGGCTTTAGGGTGGCTTCTTGTGATAGATAGCTTCTTCAACTAGCGGGCTTTGACACAACCCCACCGGGGCCGTGGCGCAAGGCTTCTTTACCCGCAGCCGTACTTGGAGCTTCATGGGTAGTTATAAGGGGAGCTATAAGTCGGGTAACTATACTTGTAATTCAGTAACCCCGCTTGCAATCATAGCTACCCATGAACCAAGTAAATCCCTCAACCCTGGTAGGGTTGGTTTAGGGTTTGAAGGGCGTTGCTGAGGGCTTCTTTTTCCCTCTCGCATTGCTTGGAGGGGCTTCAGTTTACGGGGTTTACGGCTTGTAGGGTGGTTTACAGTTTGACTTTCGGGATTCAGGGTTTAATGGGGCTTAGGGCTTGTAGGTTTTCGTGTTTTTAAATTGCTTCAAGGGATTTTTGGGGTTATGTAAGGCTTTAGAGCTCGGGATCACATTGGCATTCAGGGCCGTGCAAGCCGAACTGTTCTCAGCATAGTACAGACCAGACTACTGCACACTCTCAGATCCCAACAAAGGCGGGGGCCTTAACAATTAGAATGTAGTTTGGGGGGCCTACATGTTGCAGTCAGTATACCATCTTGCTGTCAGTATGCTAACTAAGGAAACCTAAGGAATAGCATTGCCACTTATTTAGGCTTCTGTACTGACCGGTAAGCCTACGAACAGAAACGAAGCCTCGCCAAGTGACACCAATGCCATGGGCCAATGCTCACCCTTCTCACAAGCGCCTGAGCCCATGCTTGTCGAAGGTTGAGGGCTTGGGGTTTACGGGTTGAGGGGTCTCAGCAAGCGAGGCAGCAACAGGCCCGAAAGCTGTTTTTTTTTTTGTAGGGCAGATGGCTTAGAAGCATCTATGTCCTGAAAATCTATGGTTTCAGCTTTGGGCCTAGGGTAGTTTTGTGCACACACTGGCTTTTCAAAAGGGCTTACCAGAACCAAGGCTAGTAGAGATACTTGTATCACTCTGAGAGTGTTTGCCTGAACGCCCCTGGGCCGCCCTGGCCCCACCCAATCCCTCGAAGCATAAACGCATTGAACAGGAAGCAGCTGACCCCCTCGATCGCGGAATAAGCCCATCAAGAGAAAGGGAAGGTGATCCTTCTAGCCAGGGCGCTGATGACAGAGCTGAACCTGGCACCGATGACAACTTCTGCAGGAGCCTAACCCTTCAGCCCTTTGTGTCACTTCCTATGCGTCGAGGGTTAGGGGTTTAAGCATATCTCGACCCTGACTGCGCCCAGGACCCTGCCCAAAAACGAAATCAGAGAAAACATGGAGCACGAACGAGACATGTTCACCACCGGCAAAGTTCAGATTGGACCAAGTCCGTAGCACTCACTGCACCGCCAGAATTGATGATACTACGACTCTTGATATGATGGTTGGCTTATGATATCTATCATTATTGCTGCTATAAATCTTGGCATTATGACTAACAGTCTAGTTAGAGCTACGGTATCTTTGACCAGCATTACTGGCATCAACACCTCGACCATCTTGAACTTAAGCCTTCATTTGCATCGCCCAAACCCACAGCAAAGCCTCCATCGTCCCCCTGCACCCGCGATTTCTAGCGCAAAACTACCGATGAAGCTAAGATGCGAACTAATTAATTCAGCAATCATGCAAACATTTTATGCTTCCAACCCAATCCTTGCAATTCACACTCCAACACCGCGGCATTGAAACGTAGACTGCGGGCTCAACCCAGCCCCTAAAGCCTGAAACAGCAGTAGAAACATTATAGAACCAGTCCTTCGATGGAGCCCGAATGGCGAAGCCCCGAAAGCCCCAAAACCCTAAACCACCAAACCCTAACACCCGAAACGCCAGAAACCCCGAACTGCCTTAGCGACCCCAAAACCTAAAATCCTAAACCCGAAGTGTACTTAGACCTCCCAAATACCCTCTAATATATCCGGAATACCCATTCTTAAGGACTGTAAGGGCTCCATTAAAGGCCCATCTGGGGGGGCCCTGGTAAGAGCCCTCTTGTAGAAGCCCTGGAAAATCCCGAGACGCGACCGGTTTAGGTGTTTTTTTCCCAACTTTGCGGGGCCCTTTTAGGAGCTGTCGCTGTCTGCGTAGGCTCCCAGGAGGCCGCCCGCAGCAGCCGAGGTCTCCTTTAAGGCTTAGAGTTTAGGGCATTTAGGCTTAGGGATTAGGCTTGGAGGCTTCGCGCGACCAAGGTCTTAGGATATTTAGGGTATTCTGCGGTTTTGGTTTGCCTTTGGTGCTTTCTATTGATCCGTTCTTTGTTGATGTTGAACTGCTGCTTTGCTGCTGAATTGTTCGCATTTTATGGGGTTGGTGTAAGGCTCACAAAAACTTACTTTGGGTCAATTATGTACGCATTTTTGGGTCTCAGGGCTTGTTAGCGTATCTGAGAGGAGCTTCTCTCGGAGGCTTTACTGTCTAGTTCTTAGTAGGGAATGGGGGAATGGGTTGTTGGGACTACTATAGGGGACCTTTAGGGGCTATCATAGGGATCCATTCCCCCATTCCCTACAAGCACCAGACAGTTTACATGTGTCTCGTTCTGGGCTCCTGGAATTTGTAGGATGTGGGTTTTTAGGGCATACTCGTCTGATACTGAGCCTTTCTGAGAGTGTTCAGGATATTGGATGCCTGCAGTAGTGATTTTTCTCGTCGGCTTCAGGGTAGAGTCACATGTTGTGCTATGAGGTGTTGCGGTGTATGGGGCATATATACTACTGTACTACTTCTCATGGGATGGGTCTATAGCTATAGCATGTCTAAGACGCTCGTTCAGAATCTGGCAGGGCGAGCTCCATAGGGCCGCTCTGGAGGACGCATCGGGGCGTAGCTTCTCTTTGTCTTCGCACAGGGTTTATGGTTTGAGGGACTTATACATCCTAAGGCCCCTTATTTTAGGACTTTGGTGCCTTTTTGGGTGCCAAAGACCATCAATAAGGACTACTTGGACCCTTAGGGAAACGCTTCGCTTTGAGTTTCAGCATCGGGGGCCAGATTGCTGTAGGAGCAAGGCAGCTCTAAACCATGAACTCCGGGGTCTTCGCAGGTCTGTTGCAAATTCGTTCAGGGATCTGTGAACATTTGATAACTTTTGAAGTCTGGCCAATGCTGGAAAGCGCTTCAAGTCAGCTGGGATAGAATTTATAATTCAGGAAATGCAAACCCAGAGTAACATGCCCAAATCGGCGCCGTAGGGCATCTCAAATCTTGCTTGGAAAAACGGGCTTCGGGCGGAAGGCTTAGGGCTGCAACGGGCTGCAGAAATAGATAAGATTTCCGACGACGGAGTGATGTCGGTTGCAAGACGGCAAGCCCCCGAAAGCCGATTCCAGATCTCCTACTTAGAGGCCCAGGGGACTGAGTAAATAGGTTATTATAGAGTTATAAGTACTCTACATGGAGTTACAGCTATGATAACCCCACTTATAACCAACGTACTATATGAGTCCCCTGGGCCACCAAGTATACCGTACAGTACCCATGTTATAGTTACCCTTATAATGAGCCCTTCAAAGGAACCCTATAGCCCCTTTAAGGCCACTGTGTAGGGTCCCAGAAGTTCCTGCTGGGACACCTGTTCTGAAAAGAGGCTCCCCTTCCCGGCACCTACTGAATCAACAGTGGATGCAAGAAACCACTGGTACAAAAGGGTTTAGAGCTTAGGGGTTTAAGGATTGAAAGTTTCGGGTTCAAGGTTTAGGGTTTAGATTTTAGGGCCTAGTTTAGGGTTTAGGGTTCAACAACGCGCAAACGGAACTCTCATGGTTAGGAGCCTCGGTTCTCCGGTAAGGTCCCCCATCCAAGGCCCCTGCTGTTGAGCTGGTCGCCGGCGCTGGGGGCCCTGGGGCATCGTCCCCGTCGACGCAGGGCCTCACAAGCTTTGGTGTTCATGTGAGGGATGATGAAGGTGAAGGTCACAAGACACAGAACTTTTGCTTGTCGCGATCCTACCTCGCACAGGATAGTACAGGTAACAATCGAAATTGTCTGGTCTTATACGATGCCAGACCCCTGCAGCTCAACCATTTGGTCATCCTCGCTTGTGCACCCGAATCCGACCTGAGACACTGGACCCTAAGCATCGAACAGCGAACCCTTGCAAAAGCCGGCCTTTTGCTGTCTGGCATGTCTGAGCCTCAAAGGGCACAAACAATGGAAGTTCCTACTTCTTCTCAGTTTACACTTGCAGGATGCACGAGGCTACTGTGGGGCTCTACGGTTTCAGGGTGGAAGGCCATGGTAGCAGCTCACTCCATGATGGGGTAGTCGGATGTGACGGGGCGACGCAAGGTAAGTGGACCCGACACGCTGAGCCCACGAGGTTTCACGGTCCTCATTTTCATTAGTTGAAAAGTAGCGGCATCCCCCATAAAAGCCCCTAATATCCCGTAGTCATCGGATCCTCCTCAACCCGGCCCCCCATGCCCAGCTAGGAGGCCATTGCCAGGCGCGTCGTCAGTCGCCTTCCGCTTCACCTGCTGGTTAGGATTTAGGGCAATTTAGGGTATGTTTAGGGTTTAGAGGTTAGGGTCAGGCAATCTGCTACGGTTTGGGGGCTTTCGGGTTGTGGTGCTGAAGTACTGGCACCTTTTGCAATCCCGCAAAGAAGGGCTGCAAGCACCGGTGGACCTGATCCTTACGAGGGATCGAGACTACTGGCAGCGACGGCCTGTAATGCATGCCGACTGTTTTGCCGGGGGTGGTCAACCACATGCCGGGGCAGGGTTTTAGGCCGGGGTCCAAGTTCAAGGGCTACTCATGATTGTATCTACTTGCAGGAAGAGTAATTATGCGACTGGACCCCGAAGAACCTCCCTTTTAGGGTTCCTCTTTGTATGCTTTCCTTATGTAAGTCCTTAAAACGGTGTAGGGTTTAGGCTACGCAATCTCGAAGCAACCGGAACAAGGCCTTGACGGCGAACTTCGGCTTTGCTTTCGCAGCCTTGCGGTCTGTAGTGTCGGTGGCAGCGGAGATGTCTCAACTAGACGTGCGACTTTACCAGACGGCATGGGAGCTCTGTGCAGACTTGACTGCTGGAAGCAAAATTTTACTGCTGCCTGCATCGGGCTGGTTTCTTCAGGAAAGCTTCACGGCACACTACTCGTTCAAACAGTTGTGGTTCCAGCAGGCTGCCTGTCAGTGCTTATGTTGCTCCTCGCTTACTGCTTCTCGCCTGGGCAGAAGCGCGCTCTGCTACTGCGGCGAGGATGGCGGATCCTACCTGAGGACGCGATCCTACTCCTAAACCCTATATAACCTAAGCCCTTAAAAAAAACTCATCTTAAGGAGCCTTAAGGATGTTTGAATTATAAAGCTTCTACATTTTCTCATAGAGAACACCCTGAATCCATGCACACTGAAGCAACAACCTTGAGCCCTAGCACAAATTCAAGCAGTTAGCGGATTCCAGGCGTAAGCTTCCGGCTTTATGATTCAAGGCGTATGTGTGTGAGAGGTTATCTTATAGTGCACAAACGGACTCAAGCGGCTCCAAGAGTCATTATGTGCAACCTTTGTCCATTCAAGCTCCCTTCCAAAATACCCATGAGCAGGCCCCCCAATCCCTCATCGCAGTCCGATCCAAACAGAGACCCCACAGGCCCGGAAGCAGTTCCACACCTACAGAACGAGGCGAAAGACATGGTCCACGGCTTACCCTGCAACCCACTCTACAACCTAAACCTATCTCCCTGTAGCTTTGCCGGACCACCACTAATGGTGAGCCTTGGGGTCGGGCCTACGGCAAACGTTCCCAAACCAAGAGCTTCTCTCTCTCTCTCTCTCTCTGTCTCTCTCTCTCTCTCTCTCTCTCTCTGCCGTGCCATCAATAGTCTTGCAATGCAAGGCATGCAAAGGCAGGGCAGAACATCAGGAGGCATAGCGCGAGCGCTGAACCGCCTTCACTCCAAGAACTTATACCTTAGTGATTTCCCCAAGTTCGTCACGAAGAATGCAGTATGAGCCGCTTGTGGCGCCTTCGGCGCCTTTGATGCTGAAGAGCCTCAGTTTCATGGAGGGGGGGTTGGTATTTAGAATAGCGGTTTGGGGCAGTTTTCGCCAGCCTACAAGCAGAAAGTGTAAGCAATAGCACTGTAACTTCTGTAGCATATTGCTGCAAGCGACGAAAAAACATAGCGACTCTGTAAAGAAGTAGGATCTGGACTGCTATGGTCGGTCACGGTAAACCCTCACAACCTGTGGCTGCCCGCCACATACTCCCCTGCCTCAGATTCTCACGTCCGAAACCTGCATCCCCAAAGCAAACACCACACTTGCACCTGAATTTCCCAGAGACTCCAAAACTACCCCTTAATTAAGGAATATTCCTTAAATCATATTAGGGATCCTATTATGATTTAAGGTATATTCCTTAATTAATGGGTTTTGTACACAGAGCTCAAACGTTCGACCCTACTCCGCTAATCTTCAACCCCTGGGTTCTGCAATCCGTCCAGCGGAGCAACTCGAACTGGGTTCGGCTGGAGTCTCTGAGAGGTCCACCACTTCCTCTCAAGACTTACCCTTTTGGTTCGTAGGGAGTGGAGGAATGGGGGTACAAGTATAACTACTATTAAATTACTACCATTCTTCCATTCCCTACTAACCAAAGGTAAGAAGAGCCCTGCCCAGAAATCCTGTCCCTCGAACTTTGGCAGGGTTTGAGGATTGAGGATACCGAGCCCCAAACTGAATGGTGGTCTTACGAAAGCGGGTGTATGGGACGTGGTGTGCTAGGGATAATCTCGGAAGTTTGGGCCGCAGCCGTGGATGATGACAGCAAGTTAAAAGTGATGTTCTCGAAGTCTCGAACCCATACACACAACAGCATACCTGCATACATGCAGTGTGAGCAGGTATAAGTATATTATGTATGTAAGCGTGCATGCATGCATGTACTCGAGTATGTATGCAAGTATGGAGGGGACAAAAGCACAACGCCTGACTTCCATGCGACAGCAGTGCCCCAAGCACTCCTCATCCAACTTGCCTCTGGCCTCCTGCAGCTTCTGCGTTTGGGGGTTCTATGCCAAGGCCTTTCAGTATTTCTATTTTAAGTTCGCAGGCTTGGGCCGAAGGGCGTAGGATTCGATATGCAAGACTCATCGCAACAAATGACAATGAACCTGAACGGCTTTTTTCACACAAGCCAGCCGATCACGACACATTCCGAGCCCTGCTATATCCCTATGAAGGCGACACGACTCGTCAGAACCGCAGACTGCAAAGAGCGTAAAAGCGTGATTCGAGTTCGAGCGTGCGATTCGGGCACCGAACCTACCTGACGCGATGAGTGCACGAAAAGGAAGGGTGTCAACAAGCCAAGGCTCCTCGCGGGCGCTAAAGAATTGCACTGTGTGCGCTGTAGCAGCATGCCAGGTTTACTTTGACAAGGAAGCTGTGTGTCCGTTGTGTTCTTGTGCTCACTCGAGACCTGCATGCTCTATCCAGCCAGAAGCAGTCATTCAATTATCTAAGTTTGGAAATGGAGACTGTGACAAGGCGCCTGCTCTTTCTCCTCTTTGAAGCGCTCTTTCTCCTCTTTGAAGCCCTTCAACTCCTCCATTTCCGCCTGCAGATGCAGCGCTGGAGATTGACATGCCGTGTTCTTGCCATCTAACTAACTGCTATCTATAGCTACTTCTACGGCTGCTACGGCTACCAAGATGCCGACAAGAACGACGCCTGCTTATCTCATGCTACCACTGTTGCAGAAACGAACACATGATTACCGTCACTACGACGGCGACTACTCAAAACAGAATAGTGAATAGTGCCAACCCTGTCAGTCTTGCTGCTACGACGAGACATACAAGAAGGAACATTCCTGCCACCGGTGCTGCTACTAAAGCTGCTGCTGCTTCCCCTGCTGCCACTACTGTCTTGCTGGCGCTCCTATCACTACCACAACAACTACTACGACCGCGACTACGACGACCACGACTAGGGCTACGACTCCGGCTACGATTACTATTACTACTACTACTGCTGCTGCTACTACTACTACGACGACGACTACTACTACTATTACTACCACTACCACTACTACTACTACTACTACGACGACGACTACTACTACTAACTACGAACTACTACTACTGCACCTCCTCCTACTCCTACATGGCAGCTACAGCGGCGATCTTCTTTGGCGACGCCTTCGACAGCTTCTCCTCGTCTGCACTTCGCGCCTCTTCCTGCCGAGGTGCATGCTGTGAGGGCCTGGCCCCCCTAATCCTGCAACCGCCCCAAACATGTCATGCGCCCTGTGCCCTTTCGGATAGTTCCGGACCTCAGGGCATTGGAAGACTTCGGATGCTGAGATGTATGGGTTCTGGCTTTTGGGCGTGCTGTCGATGGAGGCCATACGGATAACGCCCTGGTACGGGATGATTCCCGTCGGCTACTGTTGCTGTTCGAAGAGTAGTTGCTGATACTGGTTTTCAGACTAGATCACGACTGATACGGGCATTGAGTGCAATATGGAAGTGATGCACGCGAAAGAGCAGACACCCCCCCTCGCAGGCCGCAGGAAGTCCAAGGGAAAGTGGGCACTGGAGATGGCGGGTCCTGCTTAAAGAGGTAGTCCAAAGCCCCCTGGATGCTTTGGTCTCGATTGCCCATTCTCTTGTTCATCGTCCGGATGGCGTCCAGATCCTGCTGAAACATGCTGAGATCACAAAAAAAGACTTAAGCTGATTGTACGCACCATAGCAGGTTTACTTTGCACAAACTCTTTTGGGCACTCGCGCTCGACCAATCATTTTACAAACTCTGACTATGTATTACACATGTATGCATACACATATATATGTTGAAACCTATTTGCTTGTAATTTAGGAAAATATGTATATATATATATATGTGTGTGTATATATATATATATATATATATATATATATATTATTATTATTGTTATTGCTATTATAATATTATATTATATTTTATTTTATTGTATTATATTATATTATATTATATTATATTATATTATGTTATTTTATATTATATTATATTATGATATTTTATATTATATTATATTTGTTATATATATATATAGAGATGTATTCACATATAGATTCAGACTGACATTTTAACAAAAGCCTGAAGCCTGATATCCCAGTCCCAGAAACCTTGAGGCGCTCGAATCTCAGGGCTGCCGCTCCAAAGCCTTAATGCACACAAACCTCTTCTGCGAAAGCCGGACCCACCCCCCGTCCCCCCCCCCACCACCCCCCCCCCCCTCCCCCCCCCCCCCCACCCCCCCCCCTCCCCACCCCCCTCCCCCCAAAAAACAAAAAAAATCAAACTGTGCAAGATGGACCGAATGTGTAAGACTCAAAAAACAGCATATACTTCGCCCATATCCTAAACCCTAAACCCAATCTTAAGATGATAAGTTATAAGACTAAACCAAAAGAGCTTAGCCCCGAACGCTTTCAGCTCAACCCGAGAACTCCTTTTGATGATGTGGTTTTAGGTTTAGAGAGTTAGGGTTTAAGGTTTACAGGGCTTATACGGGCGTTTAATAAGGGAATCTGTTTAGGAGTTTTGTATACTTTAAGACCCATACCCATATGGAACCACTACGTAAAGTATAGAACCCTTCTATAGAGACCTTGCAAGAACCCGTAGCCTGAACCCCGCTCATCGTTTGTCCTCGAGCCGCTGCATCTCTGACTGGACGTCCACTGCTTTCTGCTCCAGCGCCTTCATCTGATCCTGCGCAAGGCTTTGGGTCTGGGGTTGGAGGTGGGAAAACACAAAAACGTGGGCAAGGTAAGAAAAGGCGAAGGCAAAGACTACGAATACCTTTAGCAGACTTAATACTATAATGTAGTCCAACTCTACTACACACAATGGCAAAAGCCCGACTTTGATTGCCGGTGCCAACATTGGCAAACGACTGTGCAGGAAGAGATGCGCTTGTGGTAAGTAACCACCCCGGAACCTCTGCAGGGATCCTAAAACAAAGCTGCGTAGGCAGCCCGAGATCCATAAGACCGGTCATGACTACGATGAGTTCATCACCTCCACCGCGGAAACATCATCGCAAACAAAAGCCTTCTGATCTTGCTATCTGCATCTCTGCGTACTGCACCATCCCATGCGCGTGACCAAAACCTCCCTAACTCTGTGTGTGTGTACATACACAAGTACGTATGTATGCATGCATGCGCGCATACACACACACACACACACACGCACGTACAATTCATAGCTCTACACATACGGAACCTACACAGCCTACACATACACATTACATAACAGCTACTTGTACAATGGTATCGACGAGGTCGTCCTCACAGTCTGCATGTCCCACCCCACCCCCAGTGCTCCTGCGCTGCCTCCTTCTCCTTCTCCTGCCTGCCGTGCCGGTCAGCGAGGTCATCAAGATTTTGGGTCTGTGAAACTTAGGGCGCGGATGCGCTCAGGGTTCTGTAAAATGTTTGGCATGTGCTCAGATAGCATGGGGATGGCACGTAAGCTTCGGGCTTAGGAGGGTGAACTGGGGGTTCCGGGGGGTAAGATTTGCAGCAGGCCGTGGTAACAGTTTCGGGCTCAAGGCCTATCATACATGTACTATGGCGCTCAGGATATCGGTCTGGAGGAAGCCGAGGTGCTTCAGTTGGGACTCCATGGCATCTGCATCCTTCCATGCCTCGTAGGTGCCTGAGCTGCACGGCCAAATCCCATCGACTCAATTTTCAGGGTGTCTTATTACATGCTACGCCTCACCTTCATCCGCCGATCAAGGCAACACCGTGCCAGCGGGCGGTGGAGGCAGGACTAGTCGGACTAGTAGACAAGGCGAGACAAGCAAAAACACACGCTCCGTCTCGGAAAACGAGGGTCAAACAAAGTGCATTGCGAGTGTATATGCTCCCGGCCCCCACCCGACCGTGACATCGGGATCTGCTTGGATACGATGGAAGCGGCAAACAGCTGCAGTCGTCATAACGAGTTGCATTCCTTGGAGCCCCGTACCCTGATGAAGGTGTACTGGTAAGTCATAGGCGGCTGCGATGTGGTGTTGCTTTGATGCTTTGGGCCCGGGCTCTTACCTAACAGGGCTTAGGGCCATGTGATGATATGAGACCAAGGATATCGGGACTTCACCAAACCGCCCCAAACTCTTGGAACCCAAACGCCCGAGCCCCTCCCCAAAGGTTGCGGGACCCGAAGTTTTGGCACATCCTGTCGAAAACCAGAACTTTGAAACCCATAGCTGCAAAGTGGCGCTTGCCACCGGACTCCATCGTGTAGTCGGAGTTCCTTATTCACGGGGCTTGGAGGATGTGGTTTCTTGGTTAAACAACTTCTGGTTTAGGATTCTGTGAGGCGGAAAAAAGAAAGACGGAACTACTAAACCCTAAACCCCACACCGGAGGGTCTACGCCATGCAGGACCTGTTGGATAAACTCACACTATCAGGATGGACCTGGGGCTCTGACAAGGACCCTGAGTGGTCTGATTCTCAATATATTGACCCTACAATACGGTACGCCCAGTTTTCTGCACACTTGCAGTGCTGGAAACTGCTTTTGCCTGCAGTTGCCCCTCACCCCCAGCAGTCTTGCATGGTTGAGGTGAAAGATCTGGTATCGAAAGCCTGGCAGTTCAAGTCAGCTTTGTTGACAGCTAGTTATCAGTGGGGTTATAAGGGGGGTAGCTTTAAGCATAACCCACATTAGGGAGACTTCTAATCCTCTTCTATACTGAACTTAGAACCCTAGCAAAATTATAATTTTAGCTGTTTCTTAAGGATTTTAATAACCAAAAAATTAAAAGTTATTTCTAAGTACCCCTAAGTCTTATAGCTACCTCCAAGAATGGCTTATCTTTCCCAGCGAGGCTCTTCGGATCTGTTTTGAAGGTGAATTCGGACCAACAGTGTCTGCATCTGCCGTAGAACCGGTACACCTCAGACGGCAGGGAGGCGCTTTCGAATCGGGACAGAAGTGAATCGGATTGCTGCAGATTGAATCGGGACAGAAGTGAGTCGGACTGCCACGGTTTAGAAGAACATGCCAAGGGGTCTTGGAGGCTTGAAGCTCATCTCTTTTCCAGAAGCTGAAGGGAGTTGGGGAAGCCCGGGAGCTTCATGTAAGACCATTTTGCAAGTGGCTTGCAACGTCACGCCAGGACAGCTTCATGCAGGACCCTAAACCCGGAGCCCCTGGACGCTGAGCCCTCAACCCTACCCTACACCCCGAAACCGGATTGGAAAAGGGTGCCCCAGCCTTCAGCCCAAGGTAGCTCTCGCGCTTGATCTGTTCAACCTTGGCCGTGAACTTCGTACCTCCGAGCACACAGCAGGGGCTTATAAGGTTTGGGGTTTACGGTCAAGGGTTGAGGGTTTAGCGTCTAGGGTCGAGCGTGTACGTGGAGGATCGTGGATACTTAACAGCCCCATGTACAAGGTGCTTGATACCCCTATACTTACTAAGTCCCACGATCCTCCAAGTAGGGTTTATGGGGGGGGCAAGGATCTTTTTGAAGTCCCCTTGGAGGGGGACCCTACAAGGGTCCCTGACCCCAAAATCCTAACCCTGAAACCCGTGGTCACCCTTACGCTGTAGGGTCCAAACTTTCGGGGTTTGAGGACTTACAGAATGAGCAGATAAGGGGTTTTGGGGCGTAAGGCGTAAGGGTATATGTGAATAATCTCACTGTGTGCTTGGAGTATGTGTAGACCAAAATCAGGGGCATTTAGGCGGTAGTTGTAATTCTATGGAGGCACGCTTGCAGTGCTTGTATTTCCTGAGACCCACGTTTGAGCTGCTTGCGACTTTCCCATGCCGTCGTTAGACGGCCAGCACACACCGAGCCCCTTACATATCAATACAAACGGGAGTTATAGAAAATGGGGGAGACCCTAAGATGGTACCCTAAATAGTAGGATCCTTATTATAAATTATAAGGACCCGCAATAAGGTACGGCCCCAATTTTCGGAAACTCCCAAGCTGAGCAGAAGAACTGCATGAAACCAAAAAGAGCCTGAGACTCCTCAAAGAAAACAGACGACGTGGAACCTTCGAACGGTACCTCCGCTGTTTGAATTACAAGGCTTCGGCAGCCGCAGTTGAAGAGGGTTTGAGGGTCGGCTATAAGATCGTTCGACTCGGAGAATCCGGGACATTGCCTGTTTTCGAAAGCCCAAAATAAGGTACGGCCCCAATTTTCGGAAACCCCCACTTGGAGCAAAGGACTTTCTGGAAGCTTAGAGGAGAAAATGGAACCCCAGGAGCAGCGCAGACTGACTTTGGGGTCTGGGGGGGGGGGGGGGCGGGTCCGCGGCTTTAGGAGTTTTAGGACTTAAGGGTTTATGGGTTTAGAGGTTAGGGTCCAGGGGTTCAGGGGTTTATGGTTTAGGGCTGTCTTGTCTTCATGTTTTCAGGGGTAGGGGTTTAGGATCCTCTGGAGCGTGCTAAGGTTCAGGATTGAGGGAGCAGCTGCAGATTAGACCTTCGAGCCCCTGTGAGGCCTGTGTAGTTGTACTCCTTGCAGGAGTCACAGACCATCGTGAATGGGAACCTCGCAGCGCAGAACCCGGAAGAAGTGTGCTGAGGCGTAGACCCTGTTTGGTAGCAGACTTGAACATACCGCCGGCCATTAGAATGACACGGGGCCTCCGAACCATCGACACCTCCCACAAGACCAATGGCCCGAGGACGGCAACAACATACCAAGGCGATGGATGATTCTCTTATCCCGCCGAGGCTCGAAACTCATGGAATCAGGAGCCCCGTCAATTCCAAACTAAAGAATCCCCAGGAAAGCTCGACATCTCGATGGTGGGCCCGGCTGATTAGGGTCTTCGGGGTCAAGGTTGAGCATTTACAGTTTGGATTGAAGTCTTCATGTGCCGCGCTTCACCAAAGCTTAAGCATTAAGGATTGGAGGAATGGAACTGAAAATGAAAAGGGGTTCCTTGTTATCATGCAATGCAAACTCCTTGACTAACAGGTTTGGAGTTTCTGGGTTTAGGAATTAAATCAACCGTAACTTTGAGGGTTGAAGTTGATAACTCAGACACAGGGTTCAGGGCATGTTGCTTCGACGCATATACTATGGCTTTGGGGGGTGTTATGATGTACCTATACTAAGGAATGCTTACATTCGATTCGCTCTTTGAGCCCTGAGCCAAATCAGTACCATGAAACAGTGTTCTTGACGGAAAACCCTAATGACCCATGTGCCCAAACAGTATTTGCTTTGGCCTTACGGTAACCCCTTATATACGTACTTCAGGACTGAAGTATATGTACTACGAGTTTGGGTACAAGGAATACATGGAAGCCTTGCGGAAAGGCAACGACGCCGATACGACCTTTCACAAAAGAATGCACACACTCCAACCCGCCTAAATCCCAAATCCTAAACCCCGATATCCTTGACCCAAACGCCATCGCGATAAAGCCTACAAGCCCCAGAAGCTCTAAACCCATAGACCCTTTGCACCCTGAACCACGCAAAGCCTCTGCACCCACCATCGCTGCAACGACAGGGCATCAATCGGATGAACCAAGTTTACACCCTAAAACACCCGGATAGACCTGATCTGCGACCACGGAGCATCATTCGGATGTTCATCATCTGTGGCCCTTTGGGCTTCAAAGCCTCGGGACACTGCTCAGAGCAGATGAGGTCTGCCACAAGGGGCTTCCTGTCAGGCTACTGGACTGAACGAGTTACAAAAGGACTTACAACAAGAGTTTCTCTCAGAGTTACGATAAGTAACTCAGATTTAGGGTAAGAAATACTATGAGGGTTTCTAGAACAGTAGATATTCGGGCTACTCTATAAGGCTTGCTTTAAGCTCGGCTTTGACGAAACCATCCCTTTTGTGAACCGCTGATCATGCCCGGGATTGGGCTTTAGACTGCAACGTGCCTTCGGTTTTAGACCCTCGAGGGTGCCTTCACGGGCATCAACTTCGAGGCATCGAAGTCGGGTGGGTAGTAGACGCCAGCGGTGAAGGTCCATCCTCCCAGCACCGGCTGCTCAAGCGCACCAAGGGGATGAGCGAGCTATCGGGCCCGGTTACACCTAACCCTTCAGCATGTGGGTAGTTGTCAAAATTATGGTACCTAATTGGGTAGCCTAAGTATTAGGTGCTGTATTAATATTAAGGACTCAAAAAGGGACCATAATTTTGACAACCACCCATGTAACCGGCGAGGGGGTAGTTCAAGGAGTGAGTTGACACCTGTTTACCAACATCTGAACTGGATACGCCAACACCCGTCCCAGCATGGTCACCCCCGCAGCCTAGACCCTAAAGACCTAAACCCCTAAACCCTTAAACCCTTTTCTTGAACGTGGATTTGATGGGTTTAAACCCTAAACCTCAAACTTAAACCCTTCTGAACCCTAAACCTTAGGTGCCCCAAATCCGGACCCAAAAGGACCCTCCCGGGGCCCGGTGCCTACAAAGGCGCTCTTCATAAACTTCGAGGACATGGTACCGTCCGCCATGGTGACGACCTGTGCTCAAAGCGGCCACACTCCTCATTATAAAGGAATCTTCTAGTAACCCTTATAGAAGGTAAGCCTTGCAGTAACCCTTAAAGAAGTAAGCCTTAAAGTAGCCCTTATCGAAGTAAGCCTTAAAGTAACCCTTACGGAAGTAAGCCTTAAAGTGACCCTTATAGAAGTAAGCCTTAAGGTAACTCTTATTAGAAGTAAGCCCTGGAAGTACTATTTCCAGCAACTCGCACGGTAGAAACTCTGGGCTTCCTGTACTTGGAGACGGACTTTTGTTCCGGCAGCGGGGGCTTTGGACGCAAAGCGCAGGGCTACTGCCGACACTGCAGCTTTTAATGATTTTGAGATTCGGTCAATATGGGAGTTTCCGAAAATAGGGGACCCTAATAATATAGTACCCTAAATAGTAGGATCCTGATTTTTGTAAGGACTCCAAAATAAGGTACCCCGAATTTTCGGAAACTCCTATACCGTCACATCAATCCCATGTTGTGAGGTAGGATGTAGGAGGCAATGCAAGGAGTTACCCTGAAAACCTTTCGGACGCTCACAGACACATAACAGCAGCTACCAACACAGAGCAAAGCTCGACCACAACGCCTGACAAAGCCATCACGAACTAGTTTAAACAGGCAAGCAAGACATCTAAAGACCCAGACGCTGAGTTCCGGGTTTTGGGTTTGGCCTGGAATCTAGAATGTAGAAGATCATTAACTTCGACTGTCCTGCTTCGAAGCCCAACCAGAAAGAAATCGGAATCTGCAGAATCCGAACGCCTCTGGCGGGGCTCAGAGTTCGGCGACTTAACAGAAGGCCAGCTTGAGGGTATACGGACAAGGGCCACATGTGCTTTTCACAGTTCTATCCAAGTTCCTGTCCAAACCCTGAACCCAAAATCCTAAACCCCAAGCCCAGAACTTCACCGTCCCATTTTCCCGGACGTAGAATTACCACCGAGCTTCTGCTGGCTCGGCCGGCCCTGCGAGCTCGCAGGGCACCCAAGGGCTGTACAAAATGAAGGGCTGGTTCCCTTGTGCCAGCGGGCTGCAGACAGCAACTCAGGTCCAAGGCATCCGTTCAAAAAAGTCTGAACCCTTCGGTACGATTTACGACCCTATGATTTTGTGTTTAGGGTGTCAGCGTGCAGCACTTTGTGGCCAAATCCCAGGTCCATCCTGTGGCGATATCCCACTCTCGTCATTCTCGTGCGCGGTCCCCTGGCTCTAGCTCCCATCTCACCCCCTAAGATAGGGGCCTCAATAATTAGAATAGGGTTCGGGGGCCCATTATACTAATTTCATCTAATTCTATAATTAAGAACCACCAAACTTGTAGAGGCAATTGTTAAGGCCCCTACAAAACCCAACCACAAGCCTCCATCCCAGAGAAAAGCCTTCAGCACAGCAATCCTGCGAAAAAGCAGCCCAAAGCCTTCGATCCCTAAATGAAACCGCCTAAGCTCAGAGTAAGAGGAACTCTCAGAAGCACTGATGTCAATAAGAGTTGTAACCATTCCTAGGGTTCCACGTTACTAATCAGATACTGTGTGGCCTACTCACCCATTCGTTAGGTAATTGGAGACCTGGGGAATAAGAACAGCCAGACCGTCAGTACAATTCGACTCAACGGTTGATCGCACTGCTATCGCACAGGATGCTGCTACCTGCCCCAGGATCATGGTAAGCACCGCCGGGGCCACAGCACCACGTCCGGCTTGAGGCCTGCGGCTACCTCGCAAACGCAGCCAGCAGTAGGCCAAGGTGGGCTTAGAGTGGACTCGGCGCGTAGGGGCTTTTAAGGCTCTGGCGCTTGCGGTTGTCGTGGTTCTGGCAGCTATAGCGGGACTCACACACCCTGGAAACCAACCACTCGACGTCTCCCTGCAGTGGCATATTCCTGACAAAAGCGAAATTTCAAAAGCGACATGTGCACACCATGAAGCACTATGAAACAATAGCTGCCTCTAGCCTCACACGGAACCATGACGATACAGAACGAAAGAACCTGTTCCATTAAACTTCGTAGCATTGTCTGCCGTCTGCAGACGTGAAAAGCTTCCGGAGCTTGAACCGTCGTCCCTGGATCTACCTCGACCCTACAAACTCCTTCCTTTTCAGGGCTCCCTTGTAGGATTTCCGTATATGAATCCTCAACGAGGTAGAGTCTTTGGGGTGCATTAAGGCCCTGAGCCAGATCGCAGTTGCATGCCGAGCTGCACATTCCCAAAACAGGCCAACCGCAACCTGGTGAGAATGGAACGGAAATGATCCAGCCAGTTTTGACTTGAAACCCGGTGTTGGGCTGAGGTTTTTGAGCCGTATATAGGGTTTCAAATGAAAAATGCCCTGTCTGCTTTCGGTTTCTAGGGGTTTAGGAGACTTTACGGTGGCTGCTTATGAAAGGAAAGCTTCTTAGCCCGGGAGATGCACTGGCATGTCTGGTGTCTGGACTTGCTACACCGTATAGCTCGGATACCTTCCGCTGCGGAGGTTACACGTCGAGGCTGCTTCGATGTGGATCTGGCTTTTTCATGAGAATCCCAAGTTCTCAGGCGCAAACTCTTGTTTGCCCTATGACGAATCATGACACCCTGAAAACTGATCATGTAGCCGCTTTCGTCTCGCGTAAGCTCCTCAGTACATGTTACACATCCCCTGTCCTACTGCAACCATACACGTGCATGCTGGAAGCTGTTCGAAGTAGACATCTGTCTGAAGCACCTATTACGGCTAGGACGGTAACCGATATCAACCTCAAGTATTTATAGGTATTGTATTGTCAAATAAAAAGCAAACCAGCTCGGCGAAGTACCTGCCAGCTTCCGCCGCGCTCGGCCGCGGCTACAGCGGCCGAAGACGCGACAAGGCTCATGGGAAGGCGACGTGCCTGCGTCGCGCAGGCTTATCCAGGCGCTTGAAGAGTTTTGGGATTTCGATTGGTCTAGGGCTTCGCCTAAGTCCTAAGTTCTGTTTATGGGGCCAAGCCGCGAAGCGGTTGTGACAAATTTGCGGGTTCGGCCGGGACTTGCTCATACTCGCCCCTGGCACAAAGATATGCTGATGCTGGTCACTGCCTTGCAACTGTTCATGGGCAACCTTGCATTTTATAAGCCCCAAAAAGCACAACAGGGTGCTTCGGCTGGCTGTGCCTCCTCCTGATGCGCAAACATAAAGCGTTCCTATCCCTGAATATCATGGAAACACACACCCTGGGACTGGTGTTGTTAATAAACCCCAAACCGCGGGGCTACTACGCAGAAACAACTGACCTGTCGGTTCTGAGGCCCTTAACCCTGAACCCTACCTTCATCTCGCCGACAAGGGATACAGCCCCCTTCCACTGTGCACCTCTGGCTCCGGTTAAAGAAGGCATCACAGGTCTGTGCTCTCTTTTGCAATAAAGCTGGGGACGGATGTATTGGAATTACGGGCGGAATTGTGGGTGTTTGTAAAACGGGAGGGGTAGATGCAGTAGGCTATAATCTAAGCACCCCCTACATGTGTGTAAAATATATATATATATATATATATATATATATATATATATATATATATATATATATAATGTACATGGACAGAGACACATACACACGAACATACATGCATACACACGCCGTTGAAGAGCAAGCAAGGGACATGTTTTGTGTGCGTGCGTGCACATATGCGCATATATATATATATATATATATATACATATATATATATATATACATATATATATACATATATATATATATATATATGTATATATATGTACATGTACATGTGCATGCATGACAAAAGGTGCATTTATTCATATGTATGTATATCCAGATGAACACATATACATTTATGCACATATGTGTGTGTTTATTCATGTGGGAATATACATGCGCGTGTGTGTGTGTGCGTGTGTGTGTGAGTGTGTGTGTGTGTACTCTGTCCAGATACGTACACACATAAAACCGTGCACATATGCGTTCAACTATCTATCTGCCTGTTTGTATATCTACCGAATCTAGCACTGCATCTGTCTGTCTATAGGTACACACAGTTATGTATCCATACACATACTTACTACCGTATACTTATTTTTTAGACATGGAGCAAAGCACCAGACCACTGTGCTTATCCTGGGTTTTGTCTTGCATTGACGACGGATCGGTTAGAGTTCGGGGTTGTAGGGGTTGCATGCATACATACACACACACACACACAGAGACATCTCTATCTAGCTATATATACACATCTATATACGTATATATATATATGTACATAAACAGATATAGAGATGTATGTATGCTTAATCCATACGTATTTGCATGTTGCGCATACTGGTAGAGGTAGGGGTTCTCTCTCTCTCTCTGCCGTGCCATCATCAAGTTTCTCGCAATGCAGGGGCACGAAAAAGCAGGCCAGTACATCAGGAGGCATAGCGCGAACGCTGAACCTCCTTCATCCTTCTGGCCCACTGAACCGGACAAGAACTTACCTCTACCACGACTTGTCGGGTTCAACAAAACAAGGACATGCAGCTTTGCAAACAGACTGAAGACTTCCTAAAACCAGGGGTAGGGTTCACAGTTGAGTATTTGTGAGTCTGCTCCCTTGTGCTCCCATGTCGATACAGGGCCGCTGACCAAAAAACACTTTCACGGCCCCTTTCGACCGACCGAACCCTAATGCCCAAAACGACTCGCCAAAAGGTCTCTTATGCGACACGCTCTGGGCGCATGGACGTTTGCCAAGACTGGTCATCCTCGGCACTTCTGGGGTTCTTTCGGGAATTAATTGCCTCATGGCAAGTAGTAAGGATTTTAGGGGCAGGTCCTGTACGGACGGGCGTGGACCATTGGTTTGTACACTTTTATACAAGAGTGTGATCGGTGTAGTTCCCGGATTTTGGTCGGACTGCTCGAAGCGATACTGGACTTTGCAATATCTGCTATCAGTGCCCTTGTTTGTGTTTTGTGGGTGTTTGCTACGGCTAGTATATGC